CCTATAAGCGGGGGCTGATACACGAAGGCCATTTGGACTTAACACCTAATGGTTCTTGTGAAAAGCTTATGATGTAGGCGCTTTTGGCAAGCTTATAGCATGTTGACACGTGGCATAGCACAGAGCCAATCAATGCATCTGGTAGGGCGGAGGTCGGCACCCAGCGCGGGACCAATGGCGCAACCACATGCGGCGAGCTAGGATGACCACCCTATCAGGGCCGGATCGCATCCTAACTATTCGCATGCATCTGCTATTAGGCAACCTCAAGTATTAGGGTATAACTCCCCCAAGGTAAAGGATCCGAAACTTGAGCCCACACTCCCATTCTCCCCATCTCTCCTGCTCTCTAGCTTTTTGGCGACCTCGTCCGAACTCTTCGGACCTTGTTCGCCTTATCTGCTACGCCCTCACTAACTTGATCGTCAGAGTCCCCACCTTGGGTTATCACTTGGGGCCTCTAACGTTCCCTTCTTCACAGGTACTCGGCCTCAACCGACCTCGGGCAGACTCCACCAGCCCTCGACCGTAGTGTACTTCGAGCTCCTCTAGCCTGCGGCCTCGGCACGCCCTCGGATCCATCCACTAGCCAGCCTGTCCCGGAAGCTAAGCAAATTTACTATGCTGTCCTAGGCCAATCCGAGCATCGATAGCTTCTAACCAATTACTAACATAAGAAGCCTATTGATCCAATGGGTGGAGGTTTTAAGATTGGTGACTATTTTGCAACCTTCAATATAGGAGTCAAACCCAACCCTGATGCATTGCATAGTGTATATTAGTTCATGTCATCCATCTTTGTTTTTTCAGTTGTTCCTTTGTTTTTATTTTCTTTAGAGGGGCCTAAATTAAAATAAAAATTTAATAAAAAAGTAGAAAATAAAGTAAAAACAAATTCCAACCCAACCCTAGTTGGCCTTAGGAACCATAATCAATTCAAGACCAAGATGCACATTGAAACTCAGATACAAGCCTAGACCCATATGCAACACCTAGAGTCAGACTTAAACCTAGATCCTAGATGCAAACTTAGATTTAGATCCTGGCCCATGACCAAAACTTAGATCCACATCTAGATTCACACCTAAACCTAGATCCATATCCCAGATACCTATACAAATCCAAATCAAAACCCATATCTAGGTTTAAACCCAAACCCATATCCAAACATAGATCCATATCCCGAATGCCTATATAGATCCAAATTCAAACCTAGATCCATATCTAAATCTAAACCCAATTCCAAGCTTAGATATAGATTCCAAATACCTATTGTTAGACAGTATATGCCCTTACCTCTAATCAGATTGATGTACATAAATATTTATCAGTAAAATGAATAAAGTACATTATTATTTCATGCTCTTATCGGGGTGTTTTCTATGAATTACTCCTTAAATTGGACACTTGTGAGACTTGTATTAGTTTATCATGTTCGCAATCATTGGATAGACTTGGGGAGTTTATCTTGACAAGGCAAATACTAGTGTGCTGCTGAACTGGTGCAACAGCTTGTCTTAGTTGCTAGGGTTAGACCCTAAGCACAACCAATGGTTATTTAGAAGAAACACTGAACCTAGACCATTTTCTACTTATGCCTTGGACATTGGAGATAGATGGGAAATTTGAAAAGTTGCACTCAATCCCAAACTTGATTATGATACTAAATTGGATAAAGGACTGTGATACCTTTGATGGACCAAGTAGTGAGATCCATTAAGGGTTAAATATCAAGGCATGATGGGTTAGTTTGGGAAGTTATTGGAGTGGGTGATCATAGTGATAGGATTGGCTCCTTTGTCAAACAAAGTGAATATTAGGGTTTACAATCTCTCTGATGTAAACCTAAATTACTAGTAGCGGATTTCAACTACATATGAAATTTGATTTACAAAATGTATTTATATGCTATATTATTATTTTATGAAAAATGTTTGCAAAAGGTTTTAATCCCATGATCCATCTGAGTAGAGAGTTTGACACTGCATTTTGTAGTCAAGGATGAGACCATTATCCGAGCAGAAAGTGTCACAGGATCCATCGGGTTATATATATGTACTCTCTATTTATCTAACCATAGTGTACTAGCGGAGGGGCCTTGCTTCTCAGGGGTTGGAATGCAACCATCAACGTGTTGATATGATGATTCGGTGCTTGGCCAAAAACCGTTCAACGATTCATTGACTCGAACGATCAAATCATTGACCCATTGACCAGTAAAATGGTTTTGGCTATTTTTTATTTTTTAAATTGATAATTATCTAGGCAATTGGTTTCATTTTATCCTAATCTCGGTCCCTAGCAAAAAATCTTTGAATCGGTCAATGGCCCATTGACTCGGGTGGTCGAACCATTGACCCATTCAATGGTTTTTTATCATTTTTTATTTTTTTTTTAATTTTTGTTGTCAGAACGGGCCATCCGTTCAAACCGAATAGTCAAACAGTCGACCCAAAATCCAATGGCCAGAACGATTCCGTTTTCAGGTCGTATGAGTCACACGCTCGAATGACATAACACGTATGGTATTGCTTAATGGACCTCACACACTCATTTTTTTGCCTATAATTTTTGTTGTCAGAACGGGTCATCTGTTTTTTTATTTTTTAATTGGGAACCGCCCAAGCAACCAGTTCCGATTTACCCCAATTCCGGTCCTTGGCCAAAAACCGTTGAATCGGTCAATGACCCATTGACCCAAGTGGTCGAACCGTCAACCCATTGACTTGTTCAATGGTTTTTTGCTGTTTTTTTTAATTTTTGTTGTCAGAACGGGCCGTCTATTCGAACTGGACTGTCGAACCAACAACCCAAAAACCAGTGTCCAGAACGGGTCCATTTTTGGGTCGTATGAGTCACACGCTCGAATGACATAACATCATGGTTTTTAAAAATGACCTAAAGACCAAACCGGTCAGGGTCCGGTTACCAGGTTGAACATTGGACCATTCGAACTGAACGATCAACCCGTTTTGACAAAAAAAATTAAAAAATTGGTCCAAGTCGTTTGAACGGTTTGATATCTAGTTATTAACAATATTTATAACAAATATTATATATTTGTATAATTATATATATCTAATTATCTAACAATATTTATATAATTAATAGGAAATGGGACCCGAGCGGTCGAACCATCGACCCGTTAACCCGTAAAATGGTTTTTGGCCATTTTTTATTTTTTTTAATTGGGAACCATCCAGGCAACCGGTTCCGTTTTATCCTAATCTCGGTCCTTGGCCAAAAATCGTTGAATCGGTCAACAACCCATTGACCTAGGTAGTCAAACCATTGACCTGTTGAGTGTTTTTGGTCATTTTTTTTATTTTTTTAATTTTTGTTGTCAGAACAGGCCATCTGTTCAAACTGAATAGTCGAACCATTGACCCAAAAACCAGTGGCCATAATGATTCTATTTTCAGGTCGTATGAGTCACACGCTCGAATAACATAACATGTATTTTACTTCTTAATGGACCTCACACACTCAATTTTTTGCCTGTGATTTTTGTTGTTAGAACGGGTCGTCCATTTATTTATTTATTTTTTAATTGGGAACCATCTAGACAACCAGTTCCGTTTTATCCCAATACCGGTTTGATATCTAGTTATTATATATTTATATAATTAGATTCTATTTCCTGCACGGAGAGAGCGCCCCAATCCAATTTATGTGTGTATGTGTGTGTGTGTGTGTTTGGATGCCATATAGGTGGGGTGCTTTATTGACTAAAATATTTATTTAAAAAATGTTATTTTAAATATTTATTATTTTTTTGTTGGGCATTTCATCAATGTTTCAAGTAATATGTCATAAAAGTTACTTTGCACACCTCATAAAAGTATGCCATATAACCATTTTAGTTCAACAAATGTTGGGGCATTGGGGGAAATGAGAATTTAAAGTTTCCATCAACACCTCATGTACAAAAATCCAAATATTTCTGTTTTTTAGTGTTTATTTGATAACGATTGAAATCAAACAATAGTTTCATGCACAGTAAACACTAATTCCTATGTGATGCTAATGTGGCGATGTTTTTTCAATAGACCCCGACGAAACCAAATATAGCTGCTTACATGGATAAACAATCAATCGTCTTCTTCTTGATCTCATTGTATAAAACCAAGTTTGTAACATCACTAGTGCTCCTAAACATTGTAGAAATAGAACCATAATAAAAGGAAGCTAACATTTCAATCTTGTAAACCTTTCTCCAATAGTCAAGGGGTATGGTTAAAAGTGACCCTTATTCTATTAAAACCAAAAAAAATTAACCAAAAATTTTGATTTTGGTTTGCTTATTTTGGTCTTTGTTAATTCAATTTGGTTACTTCAGTTTTTGAAAATTTCAATTTCATTTTCGGTGTTCAAAATTAGAAATTCAGTTAACTCAAAAACTAAATTAATTGAGTTTCTATATAACATATAATATATAAGATATAATATAATATATTTATATATATTAAGGTTCCTTTCTCAAGCTTGTTACAAAGTTGTCACTTGTCAGGTCTGCATCATCTAGACCAATTAGGGAGTCACGTAGGGTTGTCAATGGGTTGGGTCCAACCCGATGGATCCAAACCAATTGGGTCAATTCTGGTTTCAAGAATTGGAATCAATTCTAGGTCCTGATATAGTGTCTTGATTATTATCGGTTAAGAGTTCCACTTAGTCCTGAACTAATTCAGACCCACCATAACATGGATCCTTCTTCCGAATTACTTCAATTAAGGGCAAATTTAGAATTTCAAAATTTTCAGTATTTTCATTTACGGAAAAGTATTAAAACACACGATGCAGAATTTGGTATTAATTCACAGTAAGGATGCATCCCTGTACTTTGGACCTAGAAAATTCTGATCTGGGCTAATTGGTACTTCTCCTTTCATTTAAGTCTGTAATGTCAACATCTAAGGGTGTGCGATGGTGTCAGATATCATGTGAGTAACTTAACAGAAATTGTCAGAAACTACAGTGAAGATATCAGTAATTTACCGCTCATTTCGTATAAAGTCTTTTTTAGAAGCAGTGCAAACCGCAAAGTGTCGAAAAATCCATTGTCGCCTTTGCAGGGATTTTATACCTTGCTCTCTGCAAGTCGGTTCTCGGCAATGGAGCCGTGGATTTGAACCCCCCGGACTTCTTAGTTGTTGTGTCTTGTATCCATGGACTCTCTGCTTCGTGGGGCTATTGTGAGACCGCCTTGCCTTAAATGTACTACGCCTGTCGAGTTGTCAGCATTTCCACAGGGTATGGTTTTTGAAAATCTAAGCCGAGTTTCAATTTCAACTACTCTATTTCATCTGGGCATCTCTTACTTCTGTCAAATTCTATGGTTTGGATGTTTGGATGAAGTGGAACTTATCCGAGCAAATTTGTTTAGTGAGCTGTCCTTCAGTTCTTTCAAATTTCAAAAATTAAATTTTAATTGTTTAATCTCATTGAAATAAATATCTGCAACAGTTTTACAATTTAGGTGTACTTTTGGTCATTTTCAAATTGGTCTTCTTGAACCTTGTAAAATCGAATATCTGCTACTTTATCCCATTTCATCTTCTTCTTCTTTCCAAGCACGAGCTTTTTGGGATGCTTAAACTAGCATGAAGCCAATATCAACCTTGAACTGTCTGCATGCTTTTTGATGCCTTGTTTATAGATTTGGGCGTTAAACTAATCTCAGTTTTTGCACTTCATACCAATCTCAAGAAAATGGATGTTTAAGCTAGGGAAGTTGTGGCTCTGTCTGGTTAGGCTGTCTGGGCTTTTGAAAGACATTGAGTCTAAGAAAGATCTTTTATTGTTTGGTAAGGTGTTTTTTGAAAACCAAAAGCCAGTAGAAATTGTAGCACAAGAAAGGCGAAAAACAGAAAGCTTAAATTGAAGCTTCATTCCAATTTCTAGATTTGAGTTCCACTCTAAAACCTGAAAATCATTCTGACTTTGTGAATTGTATTTAAAGTCAACTAGAAGACACCCTTTGGTCATTTTCCTTTATTGCAAGACCAAAGGCGGTGGTTTGGAGAGCAAGGTCATCAAACAGGCTTTTCAAGCTTTTTCTTATCTTTGGAAGCCTTACAGATCTTTTGAGTTTTTGTGCTATGAAAACCTTTCTAGTTTCTACAAAGCCTAACCAAATACCACCTGTAATTGTGATGCAGATTCAATATTATTACTTACTCACAAATTAATGTTTTTGGTATTTAGACAATAAAATTGAATATTTACTTTTATCTAGTTATCTTTCTCTTTACAATCATGGCTTTATTTCTCATTTTTTCTTTTTTTTGTTATTCATAGGTAGAAAAAGATGGAGACACGATATATTAAAAGGAAATCCTAAATGTAAGATATATTTTTATTGTTTGCATTTTGTATATTTACTTATTCTTTTCCCGTTTTGTAATTTATGTCCTGAAAATGGTTTAACCATCTAATTCTGGTATAAGAATTTTCTGTTTTCCATGGAAGAACTGGTTTATTTGGAATATTTCTTCTGACTCAATTCTTGATGGATTACAATGGGATGTTTTAACATAATCAGAAATTGCAAACCAATATGCAATTTGAAGAAAAAAGAGAAAATCACTTTAGTAATCAGTAGAAGAATATGGAGAAGAGAATTTATCAAAAAAAAAAAAAAAGAATATGGAGAAGAGATAAATCAGTCCTCAAAGTTCAGTTTCTTGTTAACCATTGGAACCTTACAGTCATGTTTCTTGTAAACCATTTAACTTTCTTTAGGAGGTCCCTAAAGCACCAAACAACCGAATCCCAAGCCATCTCTCAAAACCAAGTTGATTTGCTAGCTGAATCCCTTGTATAACTGCTAGTAATTCAACCCTATTAGAATCTCCTATTCCCACTGGGCCCGAGAATAAGGCTATAATGTTGCTGCCCTTATCTCTCAAAACCTCTCATATGCTAGACAAGCCAGGGTTACCTTGACTACTACCATCAAAGTTCAGTTTAACAAAACCTTTAGGAGGATGAACCCAAGCTACAATAACACTCCTTATGAGATGATCTACTAGCCATTGCTGACCAAAACTTCGAAGTGTCGTTAAAGAAACAGGACTGGAATGAATTTTCAACCAGTGTATTACCCTTGTCAAGATATAGCCCTTGACTTCTTATAGGCTTGTTTACCTTTCTTGGAATATCCTGGAATTCCTTTCCTCCCAGATTGTCCATAGTGAAGCTACTCTAATCTCCATTTTTGTAGGCCATATAAATGCTAATGACTCAAACAACAAACTTACTTCTATTGGTAGATTCCACTTGTACCTAAACAAAACAAAAATCCAATTCCAACTAGCAACAACAAAAGGGCAGGATATTAGCAAGTGATAGCAATCCTCACCATTAGACTTTCAAAGAATGCACCAATTTAGAGATAAGCACAGAAAAGTATTTTCTTCTGCAAATTGTCCTAAGTATTAATTTTCCCATGGAATACTTCCTAGCAAGAGCCGTAGAAGTCTTAAAGCTCTACAAAACATAAATATTAATTACCTAAACTACTCAACTTGGTTGTTGGGTACAACTAAGGAACTAAAATACACCAATTCATCATCATCATCCAAGCCTTATCCCAACTATATGGGGTTGACTACATGAATCCTATTTCACCATTATGTTCTATTTTATTCCTTGTTCGTTGTTAAATAATTAGTGCTTAAATTATTTCTTGCTACTTCAACCCATGAATCCTATTTCTCCATTCTAAGGCTGCATTTGGCATTCCTTATTTTAAGGACTTATCTCTTTTTGCAGTAAAAAACTCAGTGTCATAGGGGCATTTTAACTGCAAAAAGGTGAGCAACCTAAGTGGTGTTCGCCCATAGATAAGATTCTAGATGCACCCCCCACCCCCCCATTTTACCCATCTTGCTCTAATTCTTTGGGCAACAGCCTCCTCAGTCTCTCCCTTGTTGTGAATTGTCGTTGAACCAAGGTACTGGAAAATCAGATCCAGTTATAGAATTCGCTGAAAAGCTGGGGTGCAAGGTGAAGAGTCCAACAAATATTAAGATCTATAGTGGGAAAGTCGAAGTAGATTTTCACAACCTCTTGTTTTAACCATGCTTTCCTTTTATTAATGAAATCATTTATGCGTTGCTGATAAAAAAAAGTTGAAGTAGAAGGCAAGGTGAGGAAGAGGAAAAAAGTGAAGTGGAAAGGCTGAGGATTGATGTGGAGGGTGATAGGGACTTTAGTGCAAGAAGGGAAAGGAGGTGATTTCTTGGAAGAGCAAGTAAGGGGTTTAACTTTTAGTGGGCTGGAAATTTGTTGAGAATGAGGATTATTAGGTGGAATGTAAGGGGGTTGGGTAGTGCTAGGAAGAGATCCTTAATAAAGGAGGTGATTGGGAAAGAAAAACCTAATGTAGTTATAATCCAAGAGTCTAAGTTGGCAAACTTACAATAGATGGGCTAGGAGTTTGTGGAGATCTAGGGGGATCAGTTGGGCCCTAACACCTTCTTGGGGATCATTGGGTGGTATTGTGACTCTTTGGAGGAATGATGTGATGGAAGGAGTAGAGTAGCTTATTGGTAAGTTTACAGTGTCCATTAAATTCTGGAAAGTGGAGGATGGTTTTGTATGGGTCTTAACAAACATTTATGGCCCTAATGGATACAAGGAGAGAAATGAAATGTGGGAAAAATTGAATGATATTAGAGGTTTATGGGGAGGGCCTTGGTGCCTTGTTGGTGATTTTAATGTCATGAGGTTTATAGAAGATTCCGACAATCCTAGACAAAGGTTAACCACTAATATGAGGAAGCTTAATCATTTCATCAGCTCTTTTGAGCTTAAAGATATTCCTCTTCTCCATGGTAATTTTACTTGGTCCAATCTTTAGAGTAACCCAATTTTCTCCAAGATGGATAGATTCCTTTTTTCCTTGGATTGGGAGGACAACTGAGAGTGTTACTGTCGAGAGCTTTACCTAGAGTAACCTTTGACCATTGGACACTTGCTCTTTATAAGGATGAGATGGAGGTAAGGGTCCTGCCTCCTTTATGTTTGAGAAAATTTGCCTTTGTCATCCTAGTTTTGTTTAGAAGTTGAAGGGGATTGGTGGCAAGAAAGCAGGTCTAGAGTTAGGTGGAAGGGTATGAAATTTCATAAAAAAGTTGCAATTGTTAAAAAAAATTAAAGAGTGGAACATTGAACAGTTTGGGAGACTTGAAGTAAGGAAGCAAGAAGTGATAAACCAAATTGAAGATTTGGATTTGAAAGAGGGCCAAGTCACTTTTGAGGAAAGAGATAATCGGAAAGATGATTCCCGAGGAAACAACTAGAAGATATTTTGTTTAAAGAGGAGATTAGGTGGAGGCAAAAGTCTAGACATAAATGGGTCAAAGAGGGAGATAGGATCCCTAAGTTTTTCCATGTTTTGGCTAATGGAAGGAGGAAGAACTTTGTCTCTAAACTGTAGGTGGATGGAGTGACTATTACTCGACATGATGAGGTTGCTAAGGCCTTTGTGGATCATTTTAAATATATTTTTAGAAGGCCCATAAATAGTAGGGTATGGCTTAATGGCCTGGCTTGGCCTTGTTTGTTAGATAATCTTAAAGACTATATTGGGAGGAAATTTGATATTGGTCTTCAATAAATTCATTAAGGAGATGAAAAGAACTGGTTTGCAAATTGGATTTGGAGAAGGCTTATGACTTGGTAGACTGGTCCTTTTTGATAGAGGTTTTGAAATGTTGTGGGTTTGGGGACAGGTGGTGTAAGTGGATGATGGGATGTCTAAGTACTTGTCAATAGTACTTTGTGTTGGTGAATGGAACCATGGTGGATTTCCTCCTTGCTATTTGAGGGATCAGATAAGGTAACCCACTCTCTCCCTTTCTTTTTATTCTCATCGCCGATGCTCTTAGTATATTAATTTCTAAGGCAAATTCTAGACAATTAGTGAGAGTTTGGAGAATTGATAGGGATGATGTGCCAATTACTCACCTGCAATTTGCTGATGATACGATTCTGTTCTATAAGGGAGGAGATTTGAGGTGGATAAGGAATCTGAAACTATCTATACAGCTCTTTGAACAAATATCAAATATTCCAATCTCAAAGTGAACTTTGATAAGAGTTGTGTAGCAGGGATCAACTTATTGGAAGGTAAACTATTGGAGTCCAACTATTTTGGGGTGTGTTGTTTCTCATTTGCCCATGAAATATTTAGAATTACCCCTTGGAGACAACCCAAAAAATCTGAGTTTTTGGAACCCAATGCTGTAGAGATTCTCTAAATGGCTTGCTTGTTGGAAAAAAAGGATATCTCTTGTTAGGTGGCAGGACTACGCTAATCAAATCTATGCTAGGGAATCTCCTAGTTTACTTTTTGTCAGTGTTTAAGGCCCCTGGTAGTGTGAATAAGAGGTTGGAGAAGATGATGAGGGATTTTTTGTGGGATCTAGGGGAAGGGAAGAGGGATCGTAGGATTAAATGGGATTTGGTGTGTGTAAAAGATTTGGTGGGCTTGGCATCAGGAATATTCAGAATAGGAATGGGGGCTCTTTAAGGAAAATGGTTATGGAGAATGCCTTAGATAGGGATAACTGTATAAGTTGTGGGCAAAATTTGTTTTGAGCATACATGGGCTGTTGACAAATGGTTGGGATGCAAGTCTATCAACAAGAGCAAACCGAGCTTCTCCTTTGAATGCCATTCATGATATTTTGCTATCCTTTGTCAATCATGTCTGGTATGACCATTGTTCTGGGGAACACATTAATTTTTGAGAACATATGTTGGTTGGGAACTCCTCTTTCATTGCTCGTTCCAATTCAAGTTTTGGGGTTGATTGGAATTTGAGTTTCAAAAGAGGTATTAGGGATAGTGAACTTAATAGTGTTTTATCCTTGCTTGAAATCCTGGATGGATGTGTTTGGACCATGCTAAACATGATACAAGAATTTGGACCCTTTTTTCCTCTGGTTCCTTCTCTTGTGCTTTTTTTTTGGGCTGTTAGAATTGTTATTAGTTTTGTTATTTGGTACTGTAGGGGCACTGTTGTAACTTTCTATCTTTTTTTTATAATGTTTAGGTCGCCCTAGTATAAATACAATAGCTGGCGCCACCAGCCCAACTTTTTGACCTCCAAACTTGTCTTCTCTCTTCTCTTTCTCTCTCTCTCTCTCTCTCTCTCTCTGTCTCTCTGTCTCTCTTCTTCTCTTTTACTGTTTTTCTTCCAAGATTACATGGTATCAGAGCATTGGTTTTGGCGTTGTAGACAGCCCGATCAAAGTTATTTCTTTAAATTTCCTTTTTTTTTGGCATCAAACCATGAAAGTAGTGCATTGGCTGATCTGTAAGTAGTTTCTTTG